CCCATACATGCAATGTTTCGCCACCGGAGCTGGAGCCCATTATGACCAACAAATACCAATTTTTAGACAAATCCGTTAAAAAAATGTGGCAAAAATAATCAAAATATCGAATATCGGGAGGTACCATTATATGGGGGCTATACCACAACGTGGACCTATACATGCAATGTTTTGCCACACGTACATGGACCCACCATGACCTACAAATACCAATTTTCAGACAAATCCGTGAAAAAATGTGGCATAAATAATCAAAATACCGAATATCGGGAGGTACCGTTATATGGGGACTATACCAGAACGTGGACCGATATATCTCATTTTCAATACCAACCATCCTAGACACAATACCAATTGCTCTGCTAAATTTTGGCGCTCTACGTCAAATAATGTGGGCTGTATCGTGATTTCAACAGACAAACAGACGGACAGACAGACGGACAGACAGACAGACGGACATCGTTAAATCGACTTAGAATTTTATGCTGATTATGAATATATATACTTTATGGGGTCTACGACGAATATTTAAGTATGTTACAAACGGAATGACAAAGTAAATATACCCTCCTTTCCAAGGTGGAGGGTATAAAAACAAATTTAACGGATTTGAATATTCGGAGAATTTGTTTTCTTTTTTTTTTTAAATAAGGGGAAATATCTTTGAGAGGTCCTCCATTAATAGTCCAACTTACGTTAAGGACTTTTAAGAAAATATAACCCCTTTATTCTCTTCAATGGACTTTTTAACAGGGTTCTATGAAGAAGTCCTAATGGTCTCCTAAAGTTTTTTATTTTTGAAAGAGAAGGCTTCCATAGGCAGAAGCCCATCTTAGGGTCTTCTATGGACCAATGACCTTTTAAGTGTGTTTCACAGACAGAGGAAATCCTAAACGTCATCTATTGACCAAAGTCCTTTGAAAGGTCCTCGGTCTACCTTTCAAAGATCTTCTATGGTCCGAAGACTTTCCAAGGGTCTTCCATAGAGAGAAGAGCTTCCAAAGGTCTTCCATAGAGAGGCAACATTCCAAAGGTCTTCTATAGCGAGAAGACCCTCTAAAGGTTTTCTATGTAGAGAAGACCTTCTAAAGGTCTTCTATGTAGAGAAGACCTTCTAAAGGTCTTCTATGTAGAGAAGACCTTCTAAAGGTCTTCTATGTAGAGAAGACCTTCTAAAGGTCTTCTATGTAGAGAAGACCTTCTGGTCTTCTATGTGGAGAAAAAGACCTTCTAAAGTTCTTCTATAGCGAGAAGACCATCTAAAGTTCTTCTATAGCCAGAAGACCATCTAAAGGACTTCTATGGAGAGAAGACCTTCAAGAATTCTTCTATAGACAGAGGAAATCCTAAAGGTCTTCTATAGACCGAAGACCTTCTGGAGATCTACTGTAGACCGAGGATCATTTAAAGGTCTTCTATAGTCCGAAAACATTTCAAAGCTCCCATAGAAAGAAGACCTTCCAAAGGTCTTCCATAGAGAAACAACCTTCCAAAGGTCTTCTATAGAGAGAAGACCTTCCAAAGGTCCTCTATAGAGAGAAGAAATCATATAGGTCTTCTGTAGACCGAAGACCTTCCAAAGGTCTTCCATGGAGAGAAGACCTCCCGAAGGTCTTCCATAGAGAGAAGACCTTCTAAAGATCTTCTATTTAGACAGAAGACTTTCCAAAGGTATTCTATGGACAGAAGACCTTCCAAAGGTGTTATATAGACAGAAGACCTCCTAAAAATCTTTTACAGACAGAATACCTTCTAAAGGCAATCTATAGAGAAAAGACCTTCTAAAGGTTTTCTCGAGACAGAAGAGCTCCTGCAGATCTTCAATGGACTGAAGACCTTCCAAATATCTTCTATAGACAGGATACTTTCTAAAGGTCTTCAATAGAGAGAAGACTTCTTAAAGGTCTTCTATAGACAGAAGAAATTCCAAAGGTCTCCTATATATAGAAGACCTTCAAAGACTTTCCAAATTTTTTCTATAGATTTAAGACCTTTCAAAGGTCTTCTATAGAGAGAAGAACTCTTAAAGGTCTTCTATAGACCAAAGGCGTTCTAAGGGACTTTATAGAGAGAAGACCTTCTAAAGGCATACTATAGAGAGAAGGCCTTCTAAAAACATTCTATAGAGAAAATAGCTACTAAAAGTCTTCAATAAACCGAATGCCTTCTAAAGATCTTCTATAGGAAAAAGACCTAATAAAGGACTTCTATAGGAAAAAGACCTAATAAAGGACTTCTATACACAGAAGACCTTCCAAAGAACTACTATATACAGATGACCTTCTGAAAAGGTCTTCTAAAGCGAGAAGACCTTCTGAAGAGGTCCTCTATAGCGAGAAAACCTTTTAAAGGTCTTCTACAACGAGAAGACCTTCTAAAGAAGACGTTTATAGCGAGAAGACGTTCTGAAGGTCTTCTATAGGGAGAAAACCTTCCAAAGGTTTTCTATAGACAGAAGACGTTCTAAAGGTCTTCTAAAGGCAGAAGACTTTCTAAATGTCTTCTACAGACAGAATTCCTCTTAAAGAGTCCTCTGTAGACTGAAGGCCTTCCAACGAACATATACAGAAGTCTTTCGAAAGGTTTTCTGTAGACAGTAGACCCTTTAAGGTCTCCCATAGACAGACGATTTTTTGAGGATCTTCCATAGACAAAAGATGTTCTGAGTATATTCTAGGAACATATGGAGGACCTTTATAAAGTCGTCAGTTTATGGAAATCCTTCTCAAGATTTTTATATATTTTTCTAAGAGTCTTCTTTAATTAGAAGACCTTATAAAGGCCCTGTATAGATAAAATACATGCAGTATATCTGTATGGACTTTTTATGCAAAGAACCTCTGGAAGGTCTTCTAAGGACAGAAGATTTTGAACAGGTTTCCTATAAAAAAGGGCTTTCGACATGTTTTTTTTTTTATAATTTAAAAATAATATTGCAAAGCTTAGGACTTTAAAACCACTACCCACTTCCCTAGTGTGTAGGGCACATTAAACATTTATAAACCAGTAAGGAAAGCTCAAAAGTCGGGCGGGGCCGACTATATGATACCCTACACCACTATGCATATTTAGTAGAGCTCTCGTAAAAAGGTTTATACAGTGCATTTCAGAGCTCTATGAGATATTTGGTACAAAATCAAAATCTATCTAATTCTATAGCTATCTCTGAACCGGGGTTCTCCAAATTTTACGTATTAGCTTCTAGACTGAATTCGGTCTTATGTACGAAAATTCAGGTGATTTGGGCTGATATTGACCATTTAGTGCACATTTAACCCTAAATTGGATGAAGATATACATGGGAGCTATATTCAAATCTGAACCGATTTCGATAAAATTTAAAACAGCTATTCCTGTGCTCCATCTAATACCTGGTACCAAATATCACGGTTGTGGAGTGAATATTACGAATGTATGGGACTAAAACACTAAATCGGATGAAACATATATATGGTTGCTATATCTATATCTGAACCGATTTTCACTAAATTTGATATACTTGCTTCTAGGCTGAATTTGGTCCGATGTACTAAAATTCAGTCCATTTGGACTTATATCGGCCATTTGGTGCCCAATTAACCCGAAATCGGATGAAGATATATATGGGAGCTATATCCAAATCTGAACCGATTTCGATAAAATTACAAACAGCTATTTCTGGGCTGTATCTTATATCTGGTACCAAATATCATTCTTGTGGAGTGCATATTACGAATGTGAGAGGCTTAAACACCAAATCGGATAAAACATATATATGGGAGCTATAGCTGTTCCTGAACCGATTTTCTCCAAATTTGTTGTATTTGCTTTAAGGCTAATCTCGGTCACATGTGCCAAAATTCGGGCCATTTGGGCTGATATTGGCCATTTGGTGGTCAATTAACCCGAAATCGGATGAAGATATATATGGGAGCTATATCCAAATCTGAACCGATTTCGATAAAATTTAAAACAGCTATTTCTGTGCTCCATCTAATACCTGGTACCAAATATCACGGTTGTGGAGTGCATAGTAGGAATGTTAGGGACTTAAAGATCAAATCGGATGAAATATATATATGGGAGCTATAGCTATATCTGAACCGATTTTCTCCAAATTTGATATACTTGCTTCTAGGCCGAACTCGGTTGGGTGTGCCAAAATTCAGGTAATTTGGACTGATAGTGGACATTTGGTGCACATTTAACCCGAAATCGGATGAAGATATATATGGGAGCTATATCTAAATTTGATCCGATTCTCACCAATTTCAATAGGGTTCGTCCTTGGGCCAAAAAAATATTGTTTGGAAAATTTCATCTCAATCGGATAATAAATGCGACCTGCATTTTGTTCACAAGAATACATGGACAGACGGACGGACGGACGGACGGACGGACAGACGGACGGACATGCATAAATCGACTCAGAAAGTGATTCTATGAAGGTTCTCAAAAGTAACTATGGGTCTAACTCGTTTCCTTCTCCATGTTACAAACAAATGCACAAAGACATAATACCCTTACCACTATGTGGTGTAGGGTATAAAAAATACAACAACAATTGTTAAACAACAAAAAAAATTTTAACAAACGAAACAGTAGCATCTTGATAAAGTGTTAGAATTGTTACATTTATGCTTCAGTAAATATCTCTATGGTCTGTGCAGGGTTTTTTTACCAAAGACCACTTCATTCATCATCATCTCCGTTATCCAAGCCATTGTCTTCAGCTTAGGCATAGACTCCAATTCCACTCCACTTCATGCGGTATTGTCTATTTTTCATTTGGTGTTTTTTTTTTTTTTCATTTTTTGTATTTTCTTGCCTTACAATCATTGGTAGTCAATCTAAGAAAATGATTTGTTAAACTTGGCGTTGCTTCTTTTGTAGCTCAGTTTTTTGTTTATTTTTTTGTTTTGAGTTTCCATTCCTCGTATATTTAACATAAATTATATGGAAAATCTTTACATTTATAGGCGTGCATGTAATGTTCATATGTGTGCGTATTCACAACTTACCCACGTGGTCCCGCGGTATAAACGGTCTCCTCCACTTGCCCAGTGGCTGGATTACGCGAACCATAACGACCTCGGACAACGTTGTCTGGAGTACCACTGGCCGTATGGTAGTAGCCTCCAATGTCATCGTTGGTGTGACTGCGTAAGAAAATAATGAAATGTAAAACAGCTTTAGAAGGTGTTGAAAAGTTGGTGAATCATTATTGTAACATTTAAAACATGTTGTGGATTTCTTTTTTAAAAATAACTTCCGCATTTAAAAATAAATAAATAAAGTCATTTCATAAGGTGGAAAATCTGAAAAATCCCTAATTTTTACATAGATACCAATTTTTACTATATGGGATATTAAAAATATATATCTAAATACATACACAAGAACGAAGAAAAAACCAGTAAATGTGCAGTTATATTCGGCCAGCCCGAGCTTTTAATGCCCTCCATGATCTGTTTTGAAAATAGGTCTACATAGGTCTACACTTGTCGACATATAGTAATCTGGATTTAAAAACCTGAAAATATTCTGAGTCACTTTTATATATGTCTACAGAAAAACATGAACCTCTAAAGCCTGTCATCTATTGCGAGCTCCAAACCACAACTTAAAAATTTAGGTAAAATCATCAACATACTAAATATCTAGGGGTACCGTTATATGGAAGCTATACGACAGCGACCTATTTCAATAACAAAAGTTCAAAACACATCTGACTAAAATTGTATCGATCAACTTCATTCGGTTCTGATGTAAAATCTTTGATTTTTTTTTTTGTTTTTTTGATCAATAATACTCTTTTACTTTGTTGGGTCTAAAATGTTTATTTATAGAAGTTACGAATCGAATGACCTTAATTTTACCATCTATACCATCTATGGTAACTACCAAAGTAAGTAGTTATATAACTGCCAAAATTTGGTTAGAATAAGTTAAAAACGTGTCAGTTTTATCGGCAGATATAAACCCTCAGCCAATATCTGCTTTTTTACATATATATATTGACTTTTGTCGTTATGATTATTCAAGCCGATATATTCCATCTTTATGCCAGATCTTGTGTTAGTAATAATATTGAAATGTGTGAAGTTTAGTATGAATCGGATTCTTATTTCGCTTTTTATACCCTACACCACAAGGTGGTCAGGGTATTATGTCTTTATGCATTTGTTTGTAACAGGCAAAAGGAAACGAGATAGACCCATAGTTCCTTTTGATGATCTGCATAGAATCACATTCTGAGTCGATTTATGCATGTCCGTCCGTCCGTCCGTCCGTCTGTCCATGTATTTTTGTAAACAAAGTACAGTTCGCATTTATTGTCCTATCCAGATGAAATTTTGCACAAATCATTTGTTTGGCCCAAGGACGAACCCTATTGAAATTGGAGATAATCGGTCAAAAATTAGATATAGCTCCCATATATATCTTCGTCCGATTTGCCATTTATTGTGCACCAAACGTGTAATATCAGCCCGAATAGTATGGAATTTTGCACATACAACCAAATTAGGCCTGAAAATAAGTATGCCAAATTTGATCGAAATCGGTTCAGATATAGCTATAGCTCCCATATATATTGTTCATCAGATTTGTTATTTTTGTCCTCCGCAGCCGTAATATGCACTCTGCAAAAAATATTTGGGGAAATATATCAAATACAGCTCAGAAATAGATTTGCTAAATTTTATCGAGATCGGTTGTTCATCCGATATAGCTCCCATACATAACTTCGTCCGATTTAAATTTTATTGTGCACCAAACGGGTTATATTTGTCTAAATGTGATGGAATTTGGCACTTACGACCGAATTGAGTCTAGCAGCTAGTATGCCGAATTTGGTGAAGATCGGTTCAGATATAGCTTCGATATATATTGTTCATCCGATTTGTTATATATATTACCCACAACCGTAATATGCACTCCGTAACAACGATATTCAGGGAAATATATCAAATACAGCTCAGAAATATCTTTGCCAAATTTTATCGAGATCGGTTCAGATATGGATATAGCCCATATATATTTTTATCCGATTTTAAATTATTTGTGCACCAAATGAGCAACACAAGCCCGAATTTAAAAGATACAAATGCTTCGGCATATTTAGTCCTTTGAACTTTAAATTATAATTCTGATCATAGCTTGTATGATTGAATTCTCCCATAAAAACTTGTAATTGTTATGTGGAGCTCTACTAAATTAGCAAAGTGGTGTAGGGTATCATAAAATCGGCCCCGTCCGACTTGAAGGCTTTCTTGATTGGTTTTCTTTTGAATTTGCAAAGTTTGCAAAAAATCTATTGAATTGTTCTTCTCTTATAAGGTAAATTATTTTCTTTGAACATTTTGACCTTTAGTGGATATTTATCGGAAGGAGTGGAGCTATTTTGCCCATCTCCGAACTCGATCTAAATTTTACAATAATATAAGGTTGTACCAAGTTTGGACCAAATCAAATGCTCCCTTCGAGAGTTATCGACTCCAAATATCCTAAAAAGTATTTGATACAAAGAGACCTATAGTCTAAAACAGTTATTTCGATGAGGACGTTTTGATCGCATCAAATGAAATCTGCAGTCATATAACTGAGGGTATAAAAACTATTATTTGGAAATGGGAGTTTTTATTGTGTACTGACTCGAAATAGATATATTTAGCTCGGTCTACCAACGCCTGAACATCCACGAAGAGCTGACTATGAGAAAAGCAGGAACATGTCAAACTTAGTCCTCATACACGAGGGGTTTGTCCTTTGGATTTATTAATTTCATAGCAAATGCCAAGCGTGCAGGAAACTGCAATCTTTTGAAGTCGTGTGGCATTTCTGTTACATTTAATAATCGTATCCTCAATAAAATTATTGTTTTTTTTCTATTAGCCTAATGCCATTACGAAGGTATTGTGGGACAAATCCTCTTAATAAAATCATATCCCAATCGATTTCAATATAATTTGACAAAATTTACTTTTACACCAAATTCCGTCACACCTTCCATATTTCATTGCAATTGGAGGTACATACAGATATCCAAATCTGAACCGATTTCAGTATAATTTGACAAATTTATATTTGTACCACATTTATTTACTCATGCCGAATTTCATTGGAATCGGACATACCTATCGCGTTTGGTACATCAAATATGTGTAATCGGCCGAAAATATATATGGGAGCTATCTACAAATCTGAACCGATTTCAATTTAATTTGTCAAATTTATTTTCTGAGCAAATCCCTACAGACATTCTAAATTTCATTGGAGTCGAACATACATCTCGTTTTTGGTGCATTAAATAAACAAAATCGGTCGAAAATTTATAGAGGGTATATTAACTTTGTCATTCCGTTTGTAACTCTGGATCAGCGTCAAATTCTAAGACGATCTATCGATGTCCGTCTGTCTGTCTGTCCGTCTGCTGTCTGTTGTAATCACGCTATCTTTCGAACGAATTGAGATAGAAGGCTAAAATGTTGCATGCATACATAGTTTACCAGAAGGCTAAGTTCGTAAATGGGCCATGTCGGTCCACGTTTTCGTATAGCCCCCATATAAAGGTACCTCCTGATATTCGATATTTTGACAATTTTAGCGACATTATTCACCGGAATTGTTTCAAATTTGGTATTTGAAGTTTGTTATGGGTACTACAGCCTATGACAAAAATTTTTGTATGCAGGTCCAAGTCTTAGTATAGCCCCCATATAACGGTACCTCCTGATATTCGGTATTTTGATGATTTCAGCAACATTATTCACCGGAATCGTTACAAATTTCGTACTGGAAGTTCGTACAACCTATGACAAACCAGTAAAGAAAGTCCTAAAGTCGGGCGGGGCCAATTTTATGATACCCTACACCACTTTGCTAATTTAGTTGAGCTCCACTTAATAATTAAAAGTTTTTATGGGAGAATTCAATCATACACGCTATGATTATAATTATAATTTAAAATTCAAAGGACTAAATATGCCAAAGCATTTGTATCTTTTAAATTCGGACTTGTATTGCCCATTTGATGCAAAATTAATTTGAAATCAGATAAAGATATATATGGGAACTATATCCAAATCTGAACCGATCTCGATAAAATTTGGCAAAGATATTGTTGAGCCGTATTTGATATATTTCCCTGAATATCGTTGTTACGGAGTGCATATTACGGCTCTAGGAAACAAATACAACAAATCGGATGAACAATATATATGGGAGCTATAGCTATATCTGAACCGATCTTCACCAAATTTGGCATACTACCTTCTAGACTAAATTTGGTCGTATGTGCAAAATTCCATCCCATTTGGGCTAATATTAGACGTTTGGTGCACAATAAAAGGTAAATCGGACGAAGTTATATATGGGAGCTATATCCAAATTTGAACCGATCTCGATAAAATTTAGCAAAAGTATTTCTGAGCTGCATTTGATATATTTCCCCAAATATTGTTGTTACAGAGTGCATATTACGGCTGCGGAGGACAAAAATAACAAATCGGATGAACAATATATATGGGAGCTATAGCTATATCTGAACCGATTTCGATCAAATTTGGCATACTTATTTTCAGGCCTTATTTGGTTGTATGTGCAAAATTCCATATTATTCGGGCTGATATTACACGTTTGGTGCACAATAAATGGCAAATCGGACGAAGATATATATAGGAGCTATATCTAAATTTTTACCGATTATCTCCAATAGGGTTCGTCCTTGGGCCAAACAAATGTTGTTTGCAAAATTTCATCTCAATCGGATTCTAAATGCGACCTGCATTTTGTTCACAAGAATACATGGACAGACGGACGGACGGACGGACTGACATGCATAAATCAACTAAGAAAGTGATTCTATGCAGATCATCAAAAGGAACTATGGGTCTATCTCGTTTCCTTTTGCCTGTTACAAACAAATGCACAAAGACATAATACCCTGACCACCTTGTGGTGTAGGGTATAAAAATTTTTGTATGACGATACATCAAGATATTTGGTATTTTGATGATTTCATGAATTGTTTCAAATTTCATACTGGAAGATCATAATGGGTACTACAACCTAAGACAGAAAATTGTCCGTGCAGGTCCACGTCTTCGGTACCTCCCGATACTCCGTATTTTCATGATTTTTGAGACATTATTCAACGTTATTGTAATAAATTTCGTATTTGAAGTTCGTAATGGGCACTACAGCCTATGACAAAAAATTTCGTATACAGGTCCACGTCTTGATATTGTCGCCATATAACGGTTTTCATTTAAGTGGTAGTTTTCGGATTTTTTTCTTGAAATTTTTCAGTTTCCTTCGAAATGGTGGAGGGTATTAAAATTTCGGCCCACCCGAACTTAGCTTCTTTTTTACTTGTCAGTATTATGTTTAACTAATTTTATTATCCTTTTTACAGTTTATATCACAAAGTACCAAAATCTGAATAATATCAAAATAATAATGCAAATTTTTACAATCTTTCAATAGAGTGGGTCAACTTTAATTTAACCTTTTTAACTTATTAATCGTGAAACCAGCGAATAATTTTCGATATAGAAGGAAATCCTATTTTGATATTTTTTGAGTTAATTTTTACATATTAAAATTTCATGCTTCCTTTTTTTAAAAAAGTATTTCATTACAATTTTATAACATTTTAATGATGAACTATTGTTTCTTTTTTTAATTACCGAAATTGATATGAACCATCCTCATTAATGGTATTGTACTCAATATCACAGTTAGCCAACAATAATAAATTGCTTAAAATCACAACACAAGTCCATATCGTATTATGCATTTTCAAAATGTCGAACATCTTTAATTTTCACTCAATTGTCTTTAGTAGACTAATCCTTTTAGTTAACATTTATTGAAAATCGTTTTATTTCTATGTTGTTGTACACAATATCGGTATAGAATTCGTTTTCCCGATGAGTTTTCCTTTTTTCTGTTGTTGTTTCTGTATCCAATGTTCATAGAAAAAGAAAACTCAAAAGAGCAAGAACCGCATAGATTAAGAACAACCAACAAACTGACTGCTTTCTAACAGCGGCTTAACGTATTTAAATAAGATTTTTCTAACGATTTACAAAAGGAAAATTCATTTCGTGGAAATGAAGCTCTTCGTTGAGGTACGAGCCAACCAGCGAACGAGCCACTTGTTGCAAACAGTTTAGCGGCTGGAGTGCCAACAAAAATGTGAGCCCATCGCTGTGTGTGTGAAAATCTAAATGGGTGGAGAGGTTAAACTGAACAACAAAAAACTACTACTACTGCTACAACAACAGCAACATCATCACCGATAGAAGCATCAATGTTAGCTGATGTTGTATCGCATTGTTTCACCTGACCACCCACCACTAGCAGCAGTGATGTTTGATGCCACAAAGCGAAAAAAAAATATGTAAACAACATTACTGCAAAGTCAGGGAATCACATAAAAAACAAGAAAACTAAAAATTCCTATAACTTTTATAAATTGTTTATATCGAAATTGGTCGTTTTGGTTATTCGTTCGGCCGCTTTATGTGTGTCGAAAGAAAATTATATCAAAAGAAAAACATTTTTTTTTCAAATATCAATAACTATCAATAACTAAGGAATATATATTTAGTGAATTTATGTTAATTTTTTACACCAATGTGAATATATTCCATCAAAGACCACAATTTATTAATATAAAGATATAAATTGGATGCCTTACTTCAATACAGATTCATTTTAGATTTCCAACCTTATCCCTTCTCTAAATACCAAATTTACTGCCAATCAGTACTATTTTGGTATGCATTTCCAAATCGACCTCCAAATATTAACCCTACCGCACGAAAAGTGATCCAAATATAAAATTTTAGATTTCCCGCTCTATTTCTACCATAAATACCAAACTTAGAACTATTTCGAACTTTTCGTACTTTTTTAGTACGAATTTCCAAAACACCGCTCAACCGTAATCCTTAATTTCAGAATTCAGGCACTCTCTGATTTATACCAAATTTAATACTGTACTTTTCGTACAAATTAAGTACCATTTAGTACTTTTCGTATAAGTGTAATACACATTTCCAAAACACCTTCCCAGACTTGATTCTTATACCAAATTTCAAGTTTTTACCTCCAAATATTGTTAGAATTTCGAAAAACCTTTAGTTTGTCAATCCTAAATAACATCAAAGGCTATCACTGCAAATTTCAGATTTCCAGATCTATTCCTTCCCCAAATACCAACGTTAATACTCAGTCAGTCCGTCAGCCAGTTATCTCACTACTTTTTTATATAAATTTACCTAATACCAGTACTAGTGCCGTTCGTACATAATCGGTACGTATTTCCAAAATCACCTCCATATCTTAACACTACATACCAATTCTAGCCCATTCAGAAATCTAATCGATAAACACAATTAATACTAATTTTTTTACCATTTCTTACCTTTGGAACTCTTAAAGTACTTATTTCCAAAAATAACTCCAAACTTTAGAACTCCAGCTCTATAGGCCCACCCTAATCTAATTTGTACCAAATTTAGTACACATAAGTACGGATTTCTAAAAGTACCAATATAACCCAATCTTATACTCCGAGAGTAGTGTTCAGGATTACAGCACTATCGGTTCACACTAATCCCAATTATACTAAATTTAGTACACAAAAGTACGAATTTCAGAATACTAACTTTGATACCAAATTAAGTACCATTTCGTACACATAAGTATGGGTTTCAAAAAACTGCCTACATACTCAGTCCTACAAAGCAATAGTAATGATATTCTCAAATTTCAACATTACAGCTCTATCGGTTCTTTCAAATCGAAATTGTACCAAAATTAGTACTTTCATGGACATAAGTCCACATTTCGTAAGCGACCTCCATATTCCAATCCTCCACTCCGTCAGTAATATTAATTCCGAATTTCAGCATTACAGCCCTGTTGGTTCACACTAATTCAAATTGTACCAAATTTAGTACACATAACTACGAATTTCCAATACTTCCTATATACCCTAATTCTACACTCCAAATTTTTAAAACTACCTCCATATTTAAATTATATAATCCCGTAGAAATCTTATTTTCAAATTTCAGAATACCAGCTCTATCGGTTTACCACAATTAGGATTTGTACCAAATTTAGTACCAATTAGTACATCTAAGTAAAATTTCCACAACAACCTGCATCATACAGTTCAATAGAGATATTATTTCTCAATTTTAAGATTCCAGCCCTGCAGCAAATTAAGTACCATTTAGTACACATAAGTAAGAATTTCCAAACATCTCCTACATACTCAAATCCCACACTCCAGCAGTATTGTTAATTCCAAATTTCACAATTCCCGCTCTATCGTTTCACTCAAATCGAAATTGTATTAAATTTAGTACCATTAAGTACTTATCGTGCACATAAGTACAAATTCCGAGCACTACCTTCATATCCCAATTCTACACTCTACATTACACTCCAGTAATGTTCATTTCAAATTCTAGGATTGCAGTCCTTTCAGTTCACACAAATCCAAATTGTATCAAATTTAGTACACAAACGTACACAAACACTCCAAATTTCCAAAACTACCTCCATACCTCAAGCATACAGTCCCATTGAAATCTCATTTTTAAATTTCAGAAATCCAGCTCTATTGGTTCCCCACAATTCTAATTTGTGCCAAATTACCATTTAGTACACATAAGTACGAATTTCGAAAATTTCCTACTATACAACAATTATCTTATTTTCAAATTTCAGAGTTCCAAATTTGTCGGTTCCACCAAAATTTAAATTGTACCAAATTTAGTAGCATTTAGTACACATAAGTACGAATTTTCAAAACTACCCAAATACCTCATTCCTACAATACAATAATAATCTTATTTTTAAATGTCAGCATTCCAGCTCTATCCATTCACCCAAATCGAAATTGCATCAAATTTAGTACCATTTAGTACTTTTCGTGTACATAAGTACAAATTTCGATAACTACCTCCATATCGCTATCCTATACTCCTCCAGTGAGGTTAAATTCAAATTTCAGGATTCCCATTCCAAGTTCAAATTGTACGAAATTAAGTACCGTTAAGTACTTTTCAAATGTATGAGTACACACTTCCAAAACTACCTCATTATATCGACTCTACTCCTCAACCTTGATTTCCATTCCAAATATAAAGCTTTTAGCTCTACCTCTTCACATAATACGAAATGGTACAAAATGTAGTATATTTTAGTACTTTTCGTACTTTTACAGTACGTATTTCCAAAAACCCTTTGGTTTATCCACTATACACTCCATCAGTGACCCTCATCTCAAATTTAACAGTTCTATCTCTACTGGTTCGTCAAATACAAGAGGTACCATATTTAGTTTCGTTTGATAATTTTTTTATATCGAATTTTCAATATTCCTTATCTGACCTTCGGACCATGAGTGACCGTCACCCAAAATTTCAGAATTCTAACTTCAGCCGTTTCGTCCGAGCGTTGATGAATCTTTAACTCAGTCAGTCAATCAGCCATCAGTTGGTCAGGGTATAATGTCTTTGGGCATTTGTTTGTAACAGGCAAGAGGAAACGAGATAGACCCATAGTTTCTTTTGATGATCTGCATAGAATAACATTCTGCGTTGATTTATGCATGTTCGTCCGTCTGTCAGTCCATGCATTTTGTTTGAACAAAGTACAGGTCGCATTTATTGCCCGATCCATTTAACATTTTGCACAAATCCTTTGTTTGGCCCAAGGACGAACCCTATTAAAATTGGAGATAATCGATCAAAATTTAGATGTAGCTCCCATAGATTTCTTCGTCCGATTTCCATTTTAGTGTGCACCAAACATTTAATATCAGCACAAATAGTATAGAATTTTACACATACCACCTGAATTAGGCCTGGAAATAAGTATGCCAAATTTGATTGAAATCGGTTCAGATATAGCTATAACTCTCATATATATTGTTCATCCGATTTGCTATTTTTGTCCTCCGCAGCCGTAAAATTCACTTTTTAACAACGATGTTTGGGGAAATATATCAAATGCAGCTCAGAAATACCTTTGCTAAATTTTAGCGAGATCGGTTCAGATTTCGGTATACCTCCCATATATATCTGTATCCGATTTCAAGCTAATTGTGCGCCAAATGGGTAATACAAGCCCGAATTGAAAACGCACAAATGCCACGGCAAAATTTAGTAGAAATCGATTCAGAGGAGGATTTAGTTACTTCCTAGGACATCCCTATTGCTTACGATGTCGAACCCATTATTTGATAATGAGATTTTTTCCTGTAATAAAATAACATTATAAATTTGACATGGCAACCCTTTTTTTCTAAGCCCACAAAAAAAACTAACTCCCTAACATCCAACATTCCAGACATTGCAACTTAAGGTTGTGTTGTATTTTTCGCCAACTTGTTAAGGCGACCCCATGTTAGGAAAATGCAACGAAGCGTTTCACTGGTTTTCTTGGGTGTTTTTTTTTCGCTTCTTTTCGTCTTTTTGTTTGGCAAAATAGTTGTCGAATATTTTAGCCATAACATTGGACATTATGTGGTGAGAGAATTTGTTCTGATGGTGTTTCTGCACATTGTGGTTAAACGATGTTAGAATTGTTTTCGTGTTTTTGGTGGAACTTTTCCTCTCATAATGAAAATGTGTTGGCAGTCGGCTGTTGTTGTTTTCTTTAAACCATGGAGCGTGGGTATCCATTAGACAATTGGACTTAAATGATTGTAGATGTTTTTGCTGCCAGTGTTGATTGTGTTGTTGTTGTTGTAAGAAATGATGTTTTCGTTCGAAGGCAGGGGTTTTTGTGTGGCAGGATTGTTTTCATGGTCTTCCTGTTGTGTTTGAACAAGAAGATCGTTAAGTGTGACACTGGTTAGAAGTTGGAAATTTTCGTTGAGTCATTGACAGTGGATTGGTTGGCTTTTAGAACATTTTTCCATAAGAATTTCAAAATTCTGGCTCTCAGGTTCGATGTGGCATTGTTTAAAAATGAATCAAGTTCTGGACCAATGCT